TGTGTTTTAATTAAAATCGTAAGCAAGTAAACGTAAGGAAGCAAAGAACTTGATAATAAATATTCCCGCAATTCCATTCATAAAGCGGCACAATGCGGCGACGGAGACTATAATAAACACACTTCTTTTACACAATGCGGACCACTGCTTCGTTCGTATCGAAGAACTCGGCATGCATGACAGAAAAACACATCGTTGGCTTACCAAATTTTCTGATGTGCGTCTCGAAGTGCATTTTTCGGGGTCTTCGTCGTCGTCTCTGCTCTCAACTTGCCCCATTTTCCCCCCAAAGCGGGGGCATCAACGTTCCCGCGAACACTCGAACCGTGCGCTCTCGAGCACGAAGCGCTGCAGACGAACAACCCCGTTGGACAGGCGCGCTTACCGCGTTGCCCAGGGTAACAAGCGGTGACGTCACGTGGCGCCACTGCCTGCCAAAGGGTGGTGAAGACCAGTGCCGGCTTTAGGGAATGGAATCAAAAGCGGAAAATATGAAATTTGTTAAGGGACTTTTTGGAGGTTTTTAATTTTCTAGGTTTCTTAACGCATTTTGTTGGTTATCTCTTTTATTGCCGCAATTTAAACCAATGTACCGTACCTAGTAAAATAACTTGTTCACATTGTTAATTAATGATGATAAACACATAACGCAAAATTCGAAATCCTATATTGTCATATTCCTGCTTTTGTAAAAATGTTAACAAATTGAACCTAACCATACAAATTTACTATATCTTTGATATTTAAAAGCCACTAGATGCCTATAGAATATTAGAAATGGTCGTTTTTGCATGGTTAAAAATCACTATAGTTTATAAACTGATATATTTATTTACTTATTTATTTTATCTTAGTGTCTGTCCAAAATGTCGGTGGTGTAGTAGTCAGCACTGCGGACTACTAAACTTCTCACTCTCTCATTATTCCTCTTCCTTCCATTTTCAAGACCTTCTTTCTACCCGGATTAAGCTGGCCTCACATTCTCTCTGCGAGAAAAGGCCAGAACTGCTCCATAGTTATTAAAAGGAGCCCTGACAGGGCTACCCTGTACTGCGCTGCTAGTAGCCGTACCACACCCCTCCACCGCGGGGAGGCCTCACTTCCACGAGCCTCTTTACAGCCAACCCCATCACCACATTGCGGCCTTGTACAATAATCTTCTTTTATACAATGGAATTATTTAATTTGTAAATATAATGATTTTAATTTTTGATTTTGACTACGTACTACAAGCCGAGAGGTCGTGGGATCAAATCCCACCCAGGCTGTTTATTTGTGTTTGTCAGTATGTACTTCTGTAATTAGGCCTGGTGCCTGTTAGAAGCACATTAAAATATAAAAAAAATGTCACGTGGTACCACAAGCAAGTCGAACTTGTTTGGTTATTATTATTGAGGCTGTTTGTTAAAGTGTGTCTAAATATCCCCAACTGTAACAATTATCAGTGCCGGCGTGAGGCATGTGCAAACGGTGCGGTTGCACCCGGCCCCCCGTTTTATAGGCACCGCGCGCATCAAGGCGTCTTAACAAAATTATTGTACATTTTACCAACATGCCAAGATGTAAGCACAACGTGATAAAATAATATCTGCTCAGTCTGAGCAGCTCAGAGATAATAGATATCGTCATCTATTATCATCCAGTTCAATGTTGCTAAGTGTGTATTTGGAGTTGCCTGTATCCGTTTAAAACAATTATTATTACGCCGGGAAGCATTTTTCCGTCTCCTATAGGGCTAGCGCAACCCAGTGCGCTAATCGTGTAGGATACGGAAGCGAGACCTGTATCTCCGTTCCCTAAGTGGTTAACGCACCGCCTGTAATTAGGTATTATCACTAGAGGCTAAATGTAGCAAAGTATTCCTCAAGGTTATGACGAATAGCTGTCATTTTCGTTATGCAGGTATACTGCATTGTGCCATACCAAACTAACCCAAACTTAACAACCCAACCCAACCGACCCCGCCCCATTGGGCCCCTCCCGCCCCATTGTCACAATCCAGCCTGCCTTTAGATATATTATACCTCTATTGCTCAATGGGGCGGGAGGGGCCCAATGGGGCGGGGTCGGTTGGGTTGGGTTGTTAAGTTTGGGTTCGTTTGGTATGGCACAATGCAGTGTACCTGCATAACCAAGATGACAGCTATTCACAGATTATACAACTATTCGTCATAACCTTGAGAAATACTTTGCTACATTTAGCCTCTAGTGTATTATCGCGCTATAACGTGCATACAATGATTCGCGCCTTTAAGACATACGTCAATCTGTTTGTTAGGTTATTATTATTATTATTTTATATGTACATACAAAGAAAGATCACCTAGAAAGCTCATTGCAGAGTGCTTATTCGTATGCGGTGCGTTAACCACTTAGGGAACGGAGATGCAGGTCTCGCTTCCGTATCCTACACGATTAGCGCACTCGGTTGCGCTAGCCCTATAGGAGACGGAAAAATGCCGCCGGGAAAAGAGTTATTCAAAATTAAAATTAATAAAAAAATATTTAAGATCAAGAAGGTATGTGCCAAGAACGACTAGTGGGTTTGGCTATATTGTCAATAGAGAAGGATGTTGGAAAATGGCTTCCGCTAAAGCAGGAAAAAATTATGTGTGATTTTTTCTTAAACGTTAATTTCTATATTAATTGAATAAAAAGCTGAACCACCCAAGTGCATTTGTAAGTCAAAATTTTCTATTATCCGGTAAAACGCTTAAAAAATGCCGACTTAAGTCGAAATTTCTGGAGAAATTATACTTCATTTACTTACCGATATGATAACGCGTCGGTAAGTAATAACTTACCGACGAGTTATTAAAGTAGCATAGTGATACAAATCAAAGTGGGGTTTCAACCATGCTAGCTGTCTGGAAGCACGAAGCAATGTTTCATAAATATATAAGCATAAACAAACGAATACTTTTACATCAGTGTCGCGCCATGTCGTAGCAGTATTTAAGTAAAATAATTCTTATAAATTATTTATTAAAAAATATATTTCATAGGTATATTTATTTTTCGCCGTGACTAGAAGTACACTGGGAGTACGGGCATTAAACGTACATCAGGTTTGTGCGCATGCGTGTTTCCATCCCAGCTGATGGTAAAAGTTCGTATTTAATGTTATTAGTTGAGATTAAATTGGTACACTAAGACCCAGTTGTATAACAGTTGGTAAACAACTGGTTAACTCTTGATAATAATTATGTAATTATTAAGCTAACTTTCAAGTTGTATAAACATTGATTAAAATTTAATTAAGTAATTGAAATACAATTAACAACAAAATTAATGAAATGTCAGTATGAATTAACCAAACCAACCCTAACTCAACAACCCAACCCAACCGACCCCGCCCCATTGAGCGCGAAATTGAGCGACCATTTAATATTATACAAATATAAAAATTTACTAAATAAAGATTTTTTTCCACCCGGTGTACGTTTAATGCCCGTACTCCCGGTGTACTTCTAGTCACTTTGTTATTTTAAACTAAGAACTACTGTAGTTTTAAGCACAATACACAAACAACGGTATGCTGATGCGCATGTTATGTGACGTCATGTGCGAAGCAAAAGCTGCAAAATCACGTTAAATTCCCAAATTTGTAAATATAGACGTTCTGCTTAAAGTTTAAGCACAACAAAGAAGCACCCAAATGGAATCAAAACCTGTGCGTGCCACGCACTGCGTGGCTTAAGCCTTGTAAATATATTAAATACATTCTAAAGGGTCGACCCTTGGGGGTGTATAATTCGTTACATGACACGTTGGGGGGGTTTCACATTGTCACATTCTATCAAAAGGGAGGGGGAGGGGGTCAATTTTGACCATTTTTAACGTCACGAGATTTATGATCGATCGAAAAAATTGCGGAAAACGTGGGAATTCCCGTGCATAAGCAAAACGTATGTTCTGTGGTTTGAATCTGCTTCGCACGTAACGTCACATACCGGTGTTTGCAAATGCAAATACACATGTGTATCGTGGATTTAAGTATATTGTTACAAAACTGTTGTTTTCCTCAATCATTAAAAATAATAAATAATTCTATATATATACATACTATATATATACTATATTTCATTTAGTGCTAAAATAAAATTACCTATAAATTATCACAAAAATCCTAAAAATTGGCGCCTATAGAAATAACACTATTACTTTTATGCTGGCGCCTCCGTTTTCTAAAGCCGGCACTGGTGGCCAGCCGGACTTTCCCGATCCATAACGAACGGATGATGATTATTGAATTTTGCCTCCCCTTTATTCTTAGCCTTTTTTGTTATCGTTTTTCGGGTATGGTAAACAAGTTTCTAGAGAATTTTTTTAAGCTCGTTTGCTTTATGTGACCTTTTGCATATAGGTATATAGCAAAGAGGATTTAAAAAAATTGATTCAAATGCATTATTGAGTTTTAATATTATTTATATTATGTTTTATTAGTAAATTAGAGACTATGCAGTTTACGCAAAAATAAATCACGTTGTTGAACGATCGCAAGTTAAAATCAAATATTTAATACTTTTGTCAAGATAACTGTGATTAAATCTGACAACACTGTTTGGTATGTTGTAACTTTTTTAGGTTATGTACATTTAAAATGCCAAAGTTACAAAGCAGGGGGGCAAAACCAATCCCCAAATCTACATTACTAAGATTTCCCCTATTACTTGGAGGATTCATTGGTACAATAGGTTTATGTATTTATTTCAAGTAAAAAAATACAATTTCTTTAGGTGCATAATATAATATTTCTGAATTGTAGGGATTTGTGGATTGGAGATATCGAGTTGGAGAGAAATAAAATTTACCAAAGCGATGTAGAAGGTTCCAAAGTTTTAGCGCAATTTAAAAAAGAAAATTCTAATCGGGTAGCTTAAAGCAATGTTAGTGTCAGTTTATTTTAATAAATAATTATACTTAAACTTTTTTAAAATTAAAACAAGTTAAAATGTAAAATTAAACAATTAGGTAGGCTTAAAAAATAAATAAGAAATTTAACATTCCCAATCACCTGTGATTTGGCATTTGTCTTCATTAACATCTTCAATGGACCTTTGAATAAACATCGTAAACACTTGAAATTGCCTTTTTAAATCATTGATCTTTTTATTCAAGTCACTTTTATTAATTCTCATACTTTTAATATCAATCCCAATATTATTTATTTTTTCCTTTGTCTCATTAATTTTAGGATAATGCATAATCTCTTTAATAAGTAAATCATACTTAACTTTATTCTGTTTTACAATTTGCGATTTTTTCTGAATATCTTTCATATAAGCAATTGATTTTCTAGTATCAGCAATATCTGCTTCTGAAATTTGTTGAAATTCCTTGTAATTTCTTAATTCCTTTTCTTTCTGTTTTCTAATCATACCAGATCTTCTGGGAACTGCCTCACATTGACTTAAAATATGCAGAATCTTGCCATAACCTCTCTCAGTAAGTTTGTTTGCCCATTTGCAAACAAGGTTTTGTAGCAAATTCAGTCTTCTGTCGTCGCCTATCCCATCACCGTCAAACATAAGACGCCGTTTTATTATTTGCTCTATAAATAAATATTATTAATACCTACACTTTATAACATTATCAAAAAATAAATTACCATCACTCATTTTTTCCAACTTTTTTAAGCAAAATTTGACTTAAGACTAAAGTTTAATACACAATCCACACATGGATTGTGGTTTAATCATTAAACCAAATTTTATTTTAAAATTAATTGGTCAAAATTTAATATTCTTCAACAGGTACCTATTTGATCGTAATTACGATTATTATGATTTTAATTTCATGACCAAAGCACACCTGGTTTTATAAAAAATTGGCAAAAAATTTTAAGAAAACAATATTATTTAAAATCGCCCAAAATTATGCGATTTTTTACATATCTAATATAGGTAAATGCATAACCGGATGTTTTTAGCAAGCTGCTAATAGCGTTGCTATTATAGCAACATAACCCTCAAAATACAGCAAGATTTTTTTATCGCTGTGACTAGAGGCACGTTAACGTACCGCGATTTGAAATGTTAAAGGCACGTTAGTTACGTCATAAACTCAAACCATCCCAAACTCAACAACACAACCCAACCGACCCCGCCCCATTGGCCCCCTCCCGCCCCATTGAACAAAAAACCAACTAAAATGGGCAAATTTATGTTAAAATAAAAATAAAATACTTTTTAACAAAGGAACAACAAATTTATGAAATAAAAAAAGTTCGACAACTTCTAGTAGATTTTATGTTACGATAAAACTAAAACAAACCAACCAACCCAACCCAACCGAACACTGTTAAACAAAGAAACAACAAATTTATGAAATAAAAAAAAAAATCGACAGCTTCTTAGTCTCGAACCCGGGACCTCTCGCATGCCAAGCGAACGCCCTACCATATAAGCTATCTAGCTTGATGTCAAATAATAAATGCTCGGGGAACAAAAACGGATTATAATTATGACGTAACTAACGTGCCTTTAATATTTTCAATCGCGGTACGTTAGCGTGCCTCTAGTCACAGCGTTTTTTTATACTAAAAATCTATTGTAACTGCCGCGGCTTATGTCAGCTCTGGCTTATGTTCTGTGTGCCGCGGTTTTGCATTGAAATTTCATTGATAGGTAGGTCTTGGCTATGAAGTTTTTTTTGTGTCTTGGAGCCAGTGTTGCCAACCCTACCGATTTCTGAAAAATTCTACCGATCTACGGAAAATCTAAATCTTGTAATAATCCAAATAAATAACTTTTTTTAGATTAAATTGCATAAAAATATTATACTTGGACACTGGTATTAAATATTTTTCACTAGTATGTGATTAAAAATGTATTTACCAACATCATTTGTACAAAAGTCGCACTACCTACGACGTTATCGCAAATTTCCATGATACAATAAACAGATTTCTATTCTTGCTTTTTGCTGTGTAGATTGGTAAAGTACAGAACATTCAACTTTGTGCAAAAGTTTGTTCCCTTGTTTTAGTAGTAGTTTTTACAATTTTATTATTTTTTGATACATTTCTTTTTATAAATATTCAACTTATGTTAACTAACGTTAACATAATTATTAACTTAAGTTAAATATGATATTGTTTTTATTAGATTTTTTATTTTTAATAAATATTTTTCTATTAACTGTGTTTTTTAACTAAAAATTATACATATATTTAAATCTACTGAAATTTTATCATCATCTACCGAAAATTTCCTAAGAATCTACCGATAAAATTTTCGAAGAGGATGGCAACACTGCTTGGAGCATCAATTGCACAGATTATAGACCACCTAAAATAGACCAAAGGAACGGTTGGTAAGCCTATTTTCTCTAAAAGTGACACTTGACAGTTTAACCCTTAAGCCTGAATTATAGATTGCCTTCCTTCCTTCCTCCCGTAGTCGTGCCCGTACGGTACTTGAATCTATAACTGGCAATACGATTTAAATAAACATTTTTGACGTAATTGTCACCATTAACATTGCCCGTTATTAATTTTAATTAAACTTAACAATTATTGATAATTTAAAATATTAAAATTACTTAAAAATATGATTTTGTTCAGAAAATATTTTATTCTTTGATTTTTTTTATTACTATAATTGCAAAATTTTATCACAAAGTAATAAAAATACCTAACCGGGAAATGTTAATGGTGACAATTACGTAATGTTCATCTTCTACGGGAGGAAGGAAGGAAGGAAGGCAATCTATAATTCAGGCTTTATGTTCTGTGGTTTAACCATTTCCCTCAACGGTTTAACGCAAAGATTAAAGACTTAACGAACAAAATGTCGAATCAAATAATACAGGTAGTTAAAAATATAAATCCAATTTAAACAATAATAAATACCTTTTTTTTTATTCTTTAATTTTATAGAATGTAGTGAATGTAATATTCAGCAGCGATTCTGAAAATACTAGTTTAATCGTATCGTATCATCGTAATCGTAAATTACTATTTAAATAGTGATAGGTATTCTAGTCGCCGAATGAATCATTCAATTTGAAATCCGAATGAAAATATGCGATTAATAATCGCGGATTACTTAATTCGAAAATAAACGGCGATTATTAATCGCATACTTTCATTCGAATTATCAATTCGATTAAATTATTCCGATATTGAAATCCGAATGAAAGTATGCGATTTATAATCGCCGATTATTTAATCGAATTATCATCCGATTATTGAAATAATCGTATCGGATATAATCGGTTATTGATATAATCCGATTACGCCCATCACTAATATTGTTTTAATTTTCTTCTGTTTTGTTTGATAGAAAGTGTACAACCTCACTTTTTGGCGTGCATCTATCCCCACCACCAAGTAATCAAAATTTCTCATTTGTAAGTGTGCTCCGGAGGTTGTGCTTGATCGGTAAGGGGGGAGGTAAAATTCTCACTTTGGCTTACCTGTCATTTTGCAAATGGAACGGTCTCTAAAGTGAGATAAACCAAGGTGAGGTAAGAATATCTAAGAATCGTGGCAAAAGGAAAGCACCTTATAAATTGACCATATGCAAGGAATGCGGTCGATGTTGCCAATGGTAAAAAAAATAAAATTCCCTATTGGGAACATTCAATTATATTACGTTGGCTACATTGAAAATTTGAATTTCCCATCTTTTTTTTTAATAATAAAAAATAATAATAATTCCCACATTTGAAATTCGCACCTTAATTTATTATACAACATTGGAACTACCTTCTTTATCTCTGGGAACTACTAGAATGTATGTCAGTTTGTGCGGGAAATTCAAAATTTCAGTGTAGCCAACGTAATATAATTGAATGTTCCCAATAGGGAATTTTATTTTTTTACCATTGGCAACATCGACCGCATTCCTTGCATATGGTCCTTGGTTTACTAAACCAAGCATATGGTCAATTGCTTCCACAGAATGGTTCCGTCTGAACGTTTTTCTGAATTCTTTGAGATCAATTTATTGGGATAAGTAAAATATATATATACCCTATGTAGGTAGTCTGTAATCAAAACATGAGATTTATTTTTTATATCATGCGGTTATTTAACGCCGGTTAACCTAATAACCGGTTATTTGAAGGTAGGTTAACCTGACAGGTTAGTTTAATTTTTTAATTAACCGGTTAACCGATAACCGTTTTTTTTAATAACTGCGCATCCCTAATAGAAATAATATTTCTATGAGTACTACACTGAGAAAAAAGTTTATTGCTTCCAAATAAAAAAAATATTTAAATATTCCCGACACATTAAGTTTTACAAAAGTATAGGTATTTATCGTTATTATTTCGACTATTTAGAGGTAATAAACAATATATTTGTTGTAAAGATCTCAAAAAATGTATTTGAATACCAGTAACGCCCTCTATGTTTTTACGTTCTTACTAGATACAAACTGCTTTACCTACTGTATATTTAATTCATGTAAGTGACACTGAATATAATTTAAAATGGTTGACTCGTGTTTTAATCTTACTCCATAATTATCTGCGATAATCTGCTTTATTTTAACAGGTTATGGGCCCAGTGTATTAAAAAGACATTCGTGAATCGGTACGCGACGTTATAAGCATTGTATTTAAAGTGTAGTTCGTCGTAATGGCAGTGAATTACTTAAATAGTTGTCCAAAGCTAACGGGACGCGTGGATTTTGACGAATGGAGCTTTGCAGTGGAGAACATTTTCGTCTTGGAGGGCCTAACAAAATGTTTAGAAGGCTCAGAAACAGATACGGTTCTTATCCAAAAAGCAAAAGCTAAGTTAATTCTTACGATAGACCCAACCTTATATGTTCACGTGAAAGATACTACCAGTGCGAAAGAGGTTATGGACAAAATTAAAAAACTTTACTCTGACACCGGATATGTTCGAAAAATCGGTTTGCTGAGAAGTTTAATTTCATTAAGACTGGAGAGTTGTGAAAACATGGAGTCCTATGTAAACCAAGTTGTGGAAACCTCGCAGAAATTAAGAAAAACGGGCTTTAAAATCGATGAAGAGTGGATTGGTTCTCTTTTATTAGCCGGCTTGCCTGAGAGATTCGCGCCTTTAGTGATGGCTGTTGAGCACTCTGGAATTACAGTGGACAGTGATTCAATAAAAACCAAGTTGCTAGATATGTCGATAGATAGCGCGAGCAGCAGTGGCGCTTTTGCTTCGCACCGTTCGACTGGAAACTTCAAGGCTTATCCCAAAGGTGGCAGCACCAATGTAAACAACAAAGGTACAAGGATGATTAAAAAGGCAGAAAAAAAGGACTTAAGTGACATCACTTGTTATAGATGCAAGAAAAATGGTCATTACATGAATAATTGCCCAGAAAAGAAACAGTGTAGCAGTCCGCAAGCTTTTAGTGCTGTTTTCCTTAATGGAAGTTTTAAAAAAACAGACTTTTACATTGATTCTGGCTGTAGTGTGCATTTAACAGCAAGATCGGATTGGTTGAAAGACATTAGAGATGAAAATACCATAACAGAGATTACTGTAGCGAACCAAACAAAGTTACCAGTCAGTTTTAAAGGTGACATTGAAATTTCGACAGTGGTAAATAAAGAAAGATTTGATGTAACAATTAATGATACATTGTTCGTGCCAGGGTTGACAACAAATCTTCTCTCTGTTTCTCAGCTCATCAACAATGGAAATAATGTAATTTTTAATGAAAAAGGCTGTAACATACTTAACAAAGAGGGCAAAACTGTAGCAACAGCAAATTTGACAAACAATGTTTATAAGTTAAACTTTGAAGAAAAAACAGAGATAACACTTGCTGCAGGTGTAGTAGCTTCTGGTGAAATCTGGCATCGACGCCTGGGTCATATAAATTACAAAGATTTAACAAAAATGAAGAACGGCATGGTTGAGGGACTGAAATACAAAGGCCATTTGGATGGTATCCAGTTTTGTGAAGTTTGCTGCGAAGGTAAACAAGCAAGATTACCCTTTAACCATACTAGCCAAAGGGCTGCAAATTTCCTAGAATTAGTTCATGCAGACTTATGTGGGCCAATGGAAACGACTTCCTTGGGTGGTTCTAAGTATATGCTACTGTTTCAGGATGATTTTAGCAAGATGACCTTTGGATATTTTTTAAAAACAAAAAATGAAACCTTTGAATGTTTTAAAAAATTTAAGAATTTTGTAGAAAAACAAAAGGAGACAAAAATCAAGACATTTAGAAGTGATGGTGGTGGAGAGTTTTGCAGCACTGAATTTGAGAAGTTTTTAGAGTTTAGTGGCATTACCCATCAGAAAACCAATGCATATTCACCACAACAAAATGGATCAGCTGAGAGGCTAAATCGCTCCATAATCGAAAAGGCGAAGTGCCTACTTTTCGATGCACAATTTGAAAAAAAATTTTGGGCTGAGGCAGTGCATACTGCAATTTACCTAAAGAACAGATCAAGTTTTGCAGGATTGGAAAAAACACCACAAGAAATTTGGACAGGAAGAAAGCCTGATGTTAGTAACCTAAAAATTTTTGGAAGCATTACAATGATGCATGTACCAAAAGAAAAGAGAAGAAAATGGGACAAAAAATCCAAGAAGACTTTTTTGGTGGGATACTCTGAAAATGTTAAAGGCTATAGACTTTTTGATCCAGAAAGAAATGAAGTGGTGATTAGCAGAGACATAGTTGTTTGTGAAAAAGAGACAAAAATAAACATAAATATTGAAGAAAAGAAAGAAGAAATCACAGATTCAGTGGGAGTCCTTGAGGACAGTTCAGGGGATTTGTTAAATGTTTCTGAGGACTCTTTTGCCAGTATTGACTCAGAATATATTCCTGAAGTAACTGAGCCGATTCCTGAGGAAGAACCTAGAAGATCTACCAGATTACCTAAACCTAGACATTTTGAGGACTATTTGACTTACCTGTGTTTGGATGATGATGCAGATCCAGTTACCGTGGAAGAAGCTCTATCGAGAGTTGACAAAGAAAAGTGGGTAGCTGCAATGCAGGATGAGCTGCAATCGTTCAAGGACAACGCTGCATGGGAACTAGCAGATGTTCCAGAAACGGGAACAGTGGTTCAAAACAAGTGGGTATTCAAAAGAAAATTGGATACTGAAGGTAAGGTTAAATATCGAGCGCGACTTGTCGCAAAGGGCTATACTCAAAAAGAAGGTGTGGACTATAACGAGACTTTTTCTCCCGTTGTGAGACATTCTAGTTTAAGGCTTTTATTTAGTTTGGCAGTAAAATTAGGGTTGAATGTTTTTCATTTAGATGTAGCAACAGCTTTTCTCAATGGTGATCTGAAAGAGACTGTTTTCATGAAAATTCCTGAAGGATTGGAAATAGCTAATAGTCAAAATAGGGTCTTAAAACTTTTGAAGGCTATTTATGGCCTGAAGCAGTCTTCCAGATCATGGAATGAAAAAGTTGATAATTTATTTATGAATTTGGGATATAGGAAGTCTCAATATGAACCTTGCCTATACACAAAAATGAAAAATGGTATAAAAACTATTATTTGTGTTTATGTTGACGATTTTTTTGTTTTCACCAATGATAAAGATGAATTTTCTAATTTAAAACTTAATTTGAGCAAAGCATTCAAAATCAAAGACTTGGGTGAAGTCAAAAACTGTTTAGGTATGAATGTAATTATAGATAGGAAAAATGAGTTTATTACTTTAGATCAGAGACACTTTATTGATCAGTTACTTAGGCGTTTTAACATGGAGAATTGTAAAGAAGTAAGCACTCCTATGGAGGCTGGCTTAAGTTTAGATAGGAAGGTTAGTGATTGTAAAGCTCCTGTTCCTTATCAACAATTAATCGGAAGTCTTATGTACTTATCAGTTTTAACAAGGCCTGATATATCTTTTTCAATTAGTTATTTAAGTCAATTTAATAATTGTTTTACTGAAACTCATTGGCAACATGCAAAACGTATTTTGAGGTACTTAAAAGGTACGCGAAATTTTGGGTTAAAGTTTATAAAAAATGATAACTTTCTTGAATGTTATGTTGATGCCGATTGGGGCAGTAACACATATGACCGAAAATCTTATACAGGTTTTTGTTTTCGATTTTCAGATGCACCGATTTCGTGGGAAAGTCGAAAGCAAAGAACTGTTGCTCTCTCGAGCACTGAGGCTGAATATATGGCAGTCTCAGATGCAGCCAAAGAGGCTATATATTTGCAAAATTTATTATCCGAAATGTTAGGTAGTAAAGAAATTGTAAATGTTTATAATGATAACCTTGGCGCGCAAAAATTATGCAATAATCCTGTTTTCCACAAGCGCACCAAACATATAGATATCAGGTATCATTTTGTAAAAGACATTGTCAACAAGAAACTAATTGTATTAAAATATTTAGAAACTGCTAAGATGCCAGCAGATGTTCTAACAAAAAGCTTGAGTGCTATCAAGCATTTGAAATTTATAAAGGAACTTGGAGTAGTTAACTTAGAATAAATGTGATTTTTTATATTTTTTGATCTAGTGGGAGTGTTGTAAAGATCTCAAAAAATGTATTTGAATACCAGTAACGCCCTCTATGTTTTTACGTTCTTACTAGATACAAACTGCTTTACCTACTGTATATTTAATTCATGTAAGTGACACTGAATATAATTTAAAATGGTTGACTCGTGTTTTAATCTTACTCCATAATTATCTGCGATAATCTGCTTTATTTTAACAATATTCACTATTAATAAAAGTATTAGCTACACAGTTTATTTGTCCCATTTTTTTCTCAGTGTATTAACAGTGTTCTCCTGTTACCACTTGTTAAGCCTGATTTATAGATTGTCTTCCTTCCTTCCTCCCTTCCACACGTAAAAGATGAACAATACGAAAACCGTAGTGCCGTAGTAGTGCCTTTTATAGATTCCTGTACGGGATTGTGTTGTTCATCTTCTACAGGAGGAAGGAAGGCAATCTATAAATTAAGGTACTAATTTTGTTGGGCTAACAGTGTTAGCCTAACACCCTGTGAAAATAAATAAAAGCATGATTTACTTAAATAATTTTATTTTTAAAACTTTGGGTACATGTCTAATAGTTAGTGATATTCTTGTATCACGTTTTAATGGAATGTTATTGTCGATAGATTTAAGATTGGCACATTCTTCTATGCTATCAAACTCTTTTTCTTCAATGGAATGTAAATATTTTTCATATAAATCATCTTCAACGACAACCAAACTACATCGTTCCAAAAGCACCTGTGCCACAGTGCCTCGTTTTTCATTATTTTCCAGAAATTTGAGAACTGTATTTGATCCACAAGTAATTGTGGTGATTTTTGGATAAAAAAGAGGTCCATCAGTGTGTGGCATTATTCCTTGACCTGGTAGATATTCATTAATCAACACGTGATTTGGAACTTTCCCATCAAATATATTTAAATCATTAACTTTGTTTATGTATTTTTGTAGCCAATCAGGTATTTTTTCTGGTATCATTCCTTTTTCATGGGGGATGCCTCCATAATCTTGTAGCCTTCTGTTTGATAAGCAAGTCCATTTTGGTTTGGGCACAGAATAAACGTTTTTAATTATATGGGCTTCCTCTTCCTTGGAAATAAAATTTTGAATGTAGTAAAGGGATGATGGAATATTTTCAAGTAAACATTTGGGATAATCGAACATTTTTAAGTAAATTTATTTTTGTATTACTTCCAAACTGCTTAATATTTTGAACATACAAAAACAACAAAGAAATTAAATAAAATTAAGAATAATTTTTATAAAATATAAATACAATACCGGTGACATTTGACACTAGTGACATTTCCATAACCTCAATTGTCACCAAAGAACACTTATGTCATTTTTGAAATTTACGGACAACAAAATTTCCTAATTATGTTAATTTAAGTTTAAAAAGTTTATCCACAATGTTTTCCGTTATACCAAAACCATGTTTCCTGAGAACCACAAAGAACGCAAAATATCTAAACATATGCAAATGTTTGTCAACAAGCGCAACTTTAAATAAATTAAGAGATGAGAGCAGTGTAATGAATGTATTTGATAGAAGGACTAAAAGCTTGCAACGAGAAAGAGCAGCAGCTGCCTCTGATGTTAATGTTTACGACTATCTAAAGAATGAAATTGGATACCGTTTGGCTGACAGGGTGTATGATATTAAAAGAAAATTTAATTTAGCTGCTGATATAGGTGGGAAAATGTGAAAGTTTCTTTGATTACAAATTTTGACTAGATAATTTATAGGATGTAGCAGAGGGTATGTTTCCAAACACATTTCGCCTGAATCTGTAAATGAATTGATTTTATGTGATATTAGTCAAACTAATTTGGATGGAGCTCCTGTAATGGATGGTATTAAAGTTAAAAAACATATATTGGATGAGGAAAATATTAAGGTATACCTATGCGAAGTAAATTTAAGATATAGGTACAGGGTGATTCATTATATTCATCATGAAAATAAGAAAAAAACTGTCTATCTAACTAGTTTCTGAAAACGTTTCCTTTTTAGAAGTATTGCACTTTTTAAATATATCTATCTAATTTTAGGGTGTTCTCTTGAAGAAATAATGGTTAGCTTAATTAAGCTCAAAATTTTGATAAGTATAGTAAGATTTAATTTATTTATTACATTGGCATACCACGTGCAATTCAGCTGTTATTTTTTAGAAGAAACATGTCACGCCAAAGCTTTTAATTTATTTTGATTTTTGTTCTGAATAAAACAATCAAAATAAAACTTTTCTGTCTTCCTATTGTTTTTTGTATCTAGCTTTGTTTTTGAGAAAAACAAACTTCTTCATTCTAGAGCAAGTGAAAAATATGAGGCGCCGTTTGTCCGTAAATTATTTTTGCTATATATAAGAATATTTTTTATATATAAACTTTAAATTTCCTATATATATATATAGAAACTTTTTAGTTCAGATAATGCCGCTTGAGAATGAGCAAGATACATACAAGATACATACACCTGAGAATGAGGGCGCTTTGTGGTAATCAACTAAAAAGCACTGTTGCCAGAGTGTGCCAATGCAAAGTTTTAGTCAGTGTTTCCAACATAACGTTTCGCCAGATCTGGCAGATTTTAATAAAGGTCGAGGGAAAAAAGATACTCGGCTGACGGATTTTTTAACGGAAACTTGAACATAATATCGAATAGTATTTGTCATAAGATTTGTATCTATATAATTTAATTTGTAGGAGTCCAAGTTTAAAAAAAATTCTTTGTTTTTTTATAAATTGACAAGAGAAGCAAAACGTAAGAAATTTTAGTTTTTTTAAATACCTATTAGTAAAAACGAAGCCGTGTTTATTTAGAGAAATAGAGACGTCTAAAGAAGAGAAATGTTTTCTTCAATAAAAATAGATCATCAGACCAATATATTACCTATAAGTATTTAAAAAAACTAAAATCCTATACTTTTTGCTATCATTTTGTTCCGCTAGATCTGGCCGAAGATCCGTTATGTTGGAAACACTGACCAAAACTTTGCATTGGCACACTCTGGCAACAGTGCTTTTTAGTTGAATACCACAAAGCGCCCTCATTCTCAAGCGGCATTATCTGAACTAAAAAGTTTCTATATACATATATATATATATGTATATACATGTATAGGAAATTAAAAGTTTATATATAAAAAATATTCTTATATAAATATATAGCAAAAATAATTTACGGACAAACGGCGCCTCATAGAAAAATGCACATGCACATGATCAAAATGTGAGATAATTAAATATATAAAATAAAAAAAACATTTTTATCATGAAGGTATACCTATAGTTATTTAGTATACTTAACTTATATTGTTATTGTTATTTTAGAGTTTTTCAGATATTTGGAAAAAATATATATAATTTTTTATGTAAAAAAATGCACACTCACCATATGCAGGGTGTCATCAATTAAGTTGTCAACCCTTGGGGGGACTGATGGTTCAAGCCAAAGTAAGCAAGTTTTTTCCTCGATCACTTTTGCTACTGTTTTTTTTAATAAAAATATCATTAAAAATTGATAAAATTCTTTGGCATGCCACTGGTTTGTTTAATCCATTACCTATCACGGTGATGTCGTCAACCGAATTAAACCATTAAACTGACCGCCTGTAAGATCAGTCAACATCAGGTTATCCTAGACTTGCTTTTTCCAGTATAATAATAATAAAATACAGCTGGCTAAATCCCGGAAGGGAAAGGCCAATCAAACCAGAGAAGAAGATCAGTCAACAACTTATTTGATTACACCCTGTATAATTTATCCCTAAATTTATTTGTCTGGTCATAACATTGTTTTAAGAAACCTTAACATTAACAGGTTAGGTATACTGGGTGTTAATGTAACTTTCCTGTTATCTTGGATCTGTTGAAAACTTCAGCAGAAAGATGTACTAAAGCTATTTCAAACAGTTTTGCAACCATAAAAAAATTTATTGACTCGAGGAGATCTAGATCTCCTATCTTAGATTATGACTTACTAGACTAATAGCCTAATAGCTATTAGTAATATTATTAGTAACAGTGTCTACCCAAGATAATTTTAAGCAATTAAAAGGTTAAGTTTTTATTTTAAACTTTGGTTATTATACAGGGTGCGGCAAAAAGGTTGCCCCATTTTTAAAGGGTCATTGCTTGACTCGTTGGGGGGATAGAGCAGTGCGAGTGGTCGCTTTATTTAGGTACGTGCATGCCATTTTCAGTCGTCATAATGAATCTGTCAGAAATATTTAGGATGCCAATAAAAATAAAACTAAGAAAAAGCTCTCCATTTTTAAAGGTCCATTAATTACGCGAGGGTTTTTTAAAATAAAATGTCCGGACAAAGTTGTCTCTATACGGGGTGATATTGGGTGGCCTCCGCGTTCGCCTGATTTGACCCCTTTCGTCCACAAAATTTGGAAAATCTAAAGGCAGCAATAAGGCAAAAAATCAACGCATTCCCGCAAGACATGGCGCGCAGAGCAATGACGAGCTGTCGTAAATTACGACTCGTAATAGGCTTCAAATGTCCATTTTCAATAACAGCCGTCATTTAAAGACATTATTTTTAAAACATGAAATGTATGAAATAATAGGTATGTGTTTCCTAAAAATAAAAAGCTTTTTTCTTAGTTTTATTTTTATTGACATCCCAAATATTTCTGACAGATTCATTATGATGAAAATGGCATGCACTTCCCTACCTAAAGCATCCACGCGCACTGCTTCATCACGAGCCGAACAATGACCCTTTGAAAATTTCTGATGAAGGCTTTGAAATATATTTTAATTATATTTATAAAATAATCCACAATTAATTTGAGGAATATTCTCATGAGATGCCGTGAAAGATTCATCAAATTGATCTAGAAAAGTTCCTGAATTTAATTAAGGAATAAACATGCCCATGGGCATGTTTCTTGCAGGAACTTTCACGGAGCGGACATTTTAATATTTCAGGAATATTTTTCGAAAATTTCTAGCAGTTTTAGAATATTCCGAAGAATATTCCTGGAATAACAATGGAATGCCACTTTGCGGCCTAGAAAGACCCAATTGTATATTTAAGTAGTGGGTACCCGATTTTATACCACAATTTATACACAACCCTTTATTTGTCTACCCATCCAAAAATTCCAAACTTCGCCACTGATTAGTAATAGGCATGTTTAAGCTATTGTTCTTATATCCCTAACACCCTTTAAAACTATACAAAAATCCAATGCAATTTTTAAACATAATTTTGCTGTGCTTAACAATCATGTTTTAGTTTGATCCAGGTTCTTTAGATCTGGTTATATCCTGTCTTAGTTTACATTGGGTAAATGATTTACCTGGAGCATTTAAAAGGATTTTGCACAGTTTGAAAGAAGATGGAGTATTATTAGCTGCAGTATTTGGAGGTGACACCTTATTTGAGCTAAGGTCTTCACTTCAACTAGCTGAATTAGAAAGAAGAGGTGGTTTATCACCTCACATATCACCATTTACGGAAATTCGTGATATAGGCAATTTACTGACTAGAGCTGGATTCACTATGTTGACTATTGATTCTGATGAAATTGTTGTTAATTATCCTTCTATGTTTGAGTTAATGTGGGATTTAAAAGGTAAGAATGTAATTTTATTATTATCAAAGTTAGGTAGTGGGACTTTTGGGTTTGGAGCATACATTGTTCATAGGCAAACAAGATTTACACCCTGTTTGAAACAGGCTGTTTCATTCTGCTCAAAAAATATTAGTTCATACCTATTTTGAATTTTGTTTGTAAAGTAGTAATCAATAGCAAAGTAATTTGATTTATTTTTAGGAATGGCTGAAAGTAATGCAGCTCTTAACAGATCCCTTCACCTAAATCGGGAAACCCAATTTGCAGCTGCAGCTATTTACCAACAACTTTATGGCAAAACCGACCCAGAATCTGGAAACACCACCATACCTGCAACATTTCAAGTAAAAAAATTACATAATACCTATATGTAAAAATATTAATATTTTTTCATTTTTAAAAATATAAATAATTTTTAGATAATTAACATGTTAGGTTGGAAACCACATCCCAAACAACCCAAACCTCTAGAACGTGGGACAGGAGAAGTATCCCTTAAAGATTTGTACAAGTTGGATGAAATTATTAAAGAAGTAAAAAAAGTTAAAAACGACGGCGGTGAAAAAAAGTAAAATTTTATTTGTTGTGTTAATTAATTTTGAGATTCTGTTTTAAATGATTTAATACGATTATATGATTAGCCTATTTTAAAGTAATATTTGTCACTTTTATTTTTTAAACCCCTTTAATTTTTCGATTACATCGAATACATCGCGATCCATCGTATATCTTAACAAATTTAAATATCTGCAGTTGGCAACATTGAAGTAATGTGTATTTGACCTACTCTTTAGTTCATTTGAAATCAATCGAACTGTTTAATCGAATTGCGCATGCGTCAGTGTTGTCAATGTCAAGCCTTAAATTTGTACAAATAAACAAAAGTCGATAATACTCTAATGCAAACATCAATGAAAACTTTATTGTTTATGAACATTCACATAATAATATGAACAGGCGACAGACAGGTAAGTCGTAAATATTTGCGTTACTTAATTTCATTAATAAAATTTAGATCCAAGATCCGTTGGGAGGGCACATTCGACGCTCAGCGTTTCTGCGGTGGATTATTACTTAAATTTACCCGTAACTTGCCCTCCTTCACCAGCAATTTCCACTGTAACATTAACTCCAGGCAGAATTAGAAATATTGACCAAGACATGGAGGCCTTAAGGGCATCCAGGCAGGATAATCCATTTATTCAGGTATGTCAGGTCAGCCTCAGACAAGAACTGTCTGAGCAATTTTTGTCAAAATAAAAGATTGAATATTAATATATTATTAATTATTATAGGTATAGTAATCAAAATTAGCTGAAAAATCACTTTATATTTTTTGCCTACATCTAAAAAATGTTCCTAAATGACCTGAATATTGATATTGGTTTCAAATTTTTAGCAAGTTATAGCAAGTAGGGAAAGCCTAATAGATTCTTTGGATGAAGAGTCTGACCATGCAAATTTAATGTCCAAAGAGTTATCATTGGATTTGGAAGTGGATCCAATGACATTGCCTGAAATGCACGAACACATGATAAGAAGCCCCCCACCAACTAATTGGCCAAAATCTCCAAATTTCAAGGTCTTTCAATTTCCCAATGGGGAGGATGAAACCTTACAGGTGGAAGTCAATGTAAATAACCTGAATATTAAACCACATAATCCTATTAAATGTATGTATTTAAAAAAATTACAGACCAAGGAAAAATTAAAATCGGAAATTAAACCCAAACATAGTTGGGATGGAAGTGACACCTCACCTTTAAAATCGTTTTCCAAATCTCACTATCATCAGGAAAGATTTTCATTGCTTACACCAAGTTCACTGAGGTCTTCTGCTGAAGACAGCATCCGTTTAATGGCTGAAGATTAAAAAAGTCTTTCCTAAACATGGTGATAAAAAAGGTACTTTCTAGTCAAAGTTATATTATTTTCTGGTCAGTAACATACCTCTAGTCTATAAGTAAATGATATTTTTGTTAATATGAGTAATCTTGTTATAAAGAAAAGAATATGTAGTAATTTATTTATTTAATTTATGTTATATTTATGAGAGATTTAAAATTTAAAATAAGGATTTATTTTTACAATTTTGATGTTATTAAGCATATCTAAATGTTTAAAAATAAAGTTTAAATTTGGCTGAGAATTATGCAAAACATTTTATTGACTAATTTGTATGTTTACGTAAAATTAACGATTTTTGTAACCTTTAAAAGTTTGTTAAAAGCAATAACCATAAATATTAAATTAAATCAATTCTGAACTCTAAGAATTCACTTTCATAATCAGGTTAAATGTGCTTAATCTATATCACTTATGTGGTGCATTGAAAAAAAAATTGCCTTGAAAATAATTTTCCTAAAGTGTTATTACTCACTTATTTGCATAATTTTAATTGTTTGCATAATATTCCTACAAACATACTCATAATTCTTATTATAGCCCATAAATAAATAAATACTAGATTATGGTTTTAGCTGAATGGTCGGCGATATTTTAAATATAAAATAATAACATTTTATATTTATTTATAAAATTTTAAACAAATCGTTTTCTTTAATAATTAAGCTTTAAAATTAAAAATTAAACAAGAGGCTGGATAAGCTATATCTAAAGATATTGTTACATAGATAAATAAAAGTCAATCTTTACCACTCTTTAGCACAGTAATATATGTAAAGTCCAGAAATATATTACTTTCATATTTTACTGAAATGTTTCACATCATTAAAATGTTAAATTTAAGTTACAGTGTTTCACCAGATAGGTAAAACGACACTTGGAGTAGGTAAAAAGGTATAGACAGACCTGTTTGGTTAAATACTGATTTTTTACTTAATTTCATTTTTGAGAAATCAAGGATGCCTTTTATTTTGCAAATATGACGAAAAGTTATTAAAAACAGTTCTTTAGAATCACCATCTAGGCACATATACCAAACATGAAAATCCTTGGCTAAGCAGGACTAAACCCCAAAAAATTAAAATTTAAATTGATAATTTTTTACCCCTTATCATTTTTTATTTATTTTGCCTTTGCTTCAACCTTTCTCAGCCCCATATATATGTCCAAAACGACTGGATCTACATAAACTTTGTATGGGACAATTTTTATGCATTTTTTGCCAGAAGAATAAGTTTTGCTGCAACCAAAGTTTATGTATAATAGTTTACGAGGTAATCGAGAAAAACTGTTTTTCGTGACCTTTGACCTTCGATGTTTGGTTTTGCTGGCATGATTTCGCTTTGAACTTTTGAGACATTATTACCAAAGTCTATCTACTTTAGCAATTCACCAGAATAAGCATTTTGCGCGTGATAGCCACGTTTTTGGTACAATATTGGCCAATTAGATATAAGACTTTTTTACTGTACACTGTAAAGCATAAAATTCTTGTAGCCGATTAACCAACAGCGTACAGAGCACGTGGTTATCACCCGCAAAATGTTTATTCTGGTGAATTGCTAAAAATGGATTTATTATAGTGCACCTATAGACAAGATTTAGAATTTTAGGCTCGGTAGTTTCTAAGATAATGCTTGATTTTATATAACATTCTTTAATATTAAAAAAAAACATTTCCCTCCAAAATTAACCCCAAAATTAGAATTCGTTTATTTACGCTATACGTTCGTGATTGAGTCACCTAAATATGTTCCTAAATATGTTCCAAATCTGCAGTTTTAGTGATTTTTTACACTTTTCAAAGCTTACATACGAATTTTTGAATTAAGTAAAATAATCCTGGTATAGATTCTTTGGGAAATTTTATGCTCTACAAGAAACAGTAAACAATTTTATCTTAAACGGTTCAAAAGTTATAGTCTTTTTAATGAAAAAAGATTTTTTTACGTGTTATTTCAATGGAAAACTTAAAATGCTCACCGACACCTTTTAAAATTGAGCAAAAAATTTTGCCTTGAAGGGAAATTTTTTGCTCGGTATGTAGGTTCATTTTAACCCATAAATTCGATAGGTTAGTTTTTTTGGCTCACCCTAGTATATATATTATGATCTTTAGACCAATAAATATTATTATTATTATTATATGTATGTTTAAAAAAATAATATATTTTAGGATTCATCTCTATAGTTCATGTTTAAAAACAATAACTGTTGCACTTTTTTTACCTAATCTATTTCTTCTTTCTGTTAAAATTTGTCCTGGTTCGAAAACAGACGTTCACACGGCTAAAACTTCGAGATTGATGCGCCACCTCAAGATATTAAAAAAATGTATTATTTTTTTGATATTTAAATATTATATACACTGGCGAAAGAAATTAACGCATCACGATAAATTTATCATTATTTTGTTGTTAAATATTTTCCAAACCAATCATTCGATTTTGATGTTTTTTTTTGGATTGTGTAACGACTCTTAGAAAATCTTATTATGACTTTAGTTCTTTTATAAATCTTTGTTTCTTTTATATACGGGGTGTTATACTGATACTTGATTTTTTTTTAAATTTTCAAACACTCTGTGTATTAAAGTAGCAGTAATAGCAAATCCTAAAAAGGATAAAACTATAGCCTTATCTAGCCCTACCATTCTCTTTTTTGATTCACCTTTTTATCTCTTTGATTAAAGGAGATACACATTTTAATAACACTGCATGTTTTATTTACCTTTTTATACACATTAAAGAAAACAGGCTGTGGCGTCTTGTCAAATTTATGACATTTCAAACGAAATGTCAATATTATTTATCTTAAGGTTTAATACATTTAACAATTAACATAATTAGCAAAAATTATCTATTGTATTTACACAACACAGTAACTAATACTTAGTGTTTCCTCCTCTTGCACGAATTACAGCCTCACATCGACGCCTCATACTAAAAATTAAATTTCTTATTTCATCTTGGTCGATACTTTCCCAAATTTGTTGTAGCCTTTCTCCCAGTTCTTGTTGATTAATGGGTTGACGAGGAAGTTCTCTTAACCGTTTGCCCATAATATCCCAGATATGTTCTATTGGATTAAGATCCGGACTTCTGGCTGGCCAACGCATTGTTTGAATATTAACCTCGGCAAGATATTGTTGTACAATCCTGGCCGTATGCGGTCTAGCATTATCATGCATAAAAATAAAATTATCACCGACAAAGGGTGCAAAAGGCATTAAGATAGGTTCTAAAATGTTTTCAATGTAAGAAACTGCCGTGACACTTCCTCTTGGAATTACCACCAACTCCGTGCGAGCCTCTGCAGTGATGCCTCCCCACACCATACTAGAGCCTCCACCAAACATGACTGTTTGAACAATGTTACATTGAGCATAACGTTCACCTGGCCGTCTATATACACTCATCCGTTTATCACTGCTATGGAGACAAAATCTGGATTCGTCAGTAAACATAACGTTGGCCCAATCAGCCTCTAACCAGTTAACGTGTTCTTGAGCAAATGTTAATCTGGCTCTGCGATGCTCTGCGTTTAATTGAGGGCCTGTTGCAGGTCTTCTGGGTCTTAAATTAAATTCACGTAGCCGCTTTCGTATCGTTACACTGCTTACACGAATATTATGTGTCTATTCCAGGATATTTTGTAATCTTGGTGCTGTAATAAACCGTTCCCTTAACGTTTGTAACAACAAAAATCGATCTTGGACATCGTTTGTGGCTCGTCTTCTTCCTTGACCTGGTCTTCTTACGTGCACTTGAGTCTCATGATACCGCCGCAGGATTCGAGATATAGTCGATTGATTGACTCCAAGACGTTGAGCGATAAAACGCTGACTTCTACCATCTTCCGAAAGAGTTACCGCACGCACAGAATCTTCAAAACTTAAGATGCGATTCTGATGAAGCACGTTCATTCTGACATTCATTATAAAATATTGACATTTCGTTTGAAATGTCATAAATTTGACAAGACGCCACAGCCTGTTTTCTTTAATGTGTATAAAAAGGTAAATAAAACATGCAGTGTTATTAAAATGTGTATCTCCTTTAATCAAAGAGATAAAAAGGTGAATCAAAAAAGAGAATGGTAGGGCTAGATAAGGCTATAGTTTTATCCTTTTTAGGATTTGCTATTACTGCTACTTTAATACACAGAGTGTTTGAAAATTTTAAAAAAAATCAAGTATCAGTATAACACCCCGTATATAAAAGAAACAAAGATTTATAAAAGAACTAAAGTCATAATAAGATTTTCTAAGAGTCGTTACACAATCCAAAAAAAAAAAACATCAAAATCGAATGATTGGTTTGGAAAATATTTAACAACAAAATAATGATAAATTTATCGTGATGCGTTAATTTCTTTCGCCAGTGTATATTATATATTATTTTAGGCTTTTAGTCAACAATTTAAAATACAGGAAAAATCAATTAATAAATAAAAAAATTCACTCCACAATAAAAAACGTGTTTGTATAAAATTCAAGAACGTTGTTGGAACGTAACTGACACTAAAAAAATGTTCCCCATTTTAGTCACTTCCACGTAATATAATCGTTTCTACACTTTACAGTTCCAAGTATAAGTGGCCAACACGTTTTAACCACTATTTATAAATGCTACTTGCGAATAGCCAAAGATATTATCTTTGATAATACCTACTCAAAGAAGACTTCCTTCTTGGAGTGGGTATTGTCAAAGATGATATCTTTGGCTATTGTTATTAAAAATCATTTGTCAAATCAATATGTCCATCAATCTATCTAAAAAAATTCGCCGCTCCTTTTTTCGTAGGAACCATGCATAGTTCGGTTGGAAATCCATACAAACTTGATATGTTATTTTTTATACATGCCCTTTTATTAGTTATCATTAACTGCTAATGATTAAATAGACATTCGAAGGTACATAAATTTGCAACAAGCTGAAAATCAGTAAAATTGTTCAGAATATAACT